GGCTCGATGTGGAGCCCATTCTTCTCCACGTCAACGTCGCCGATGTGTCGCCGATGCATCGCCGACGCGTCGCCAATGCATCGCCGATGCGTCGGCGATGCGGCGTGATCCTCCGCTCCATCGGCTCGGACCCCATCTGAGAGGGGCCCTCAGATTCTGCGAGGGGCACCGTCACGCTCGGAAACTTCCGAATACAGTCAAGACGCTGAAAGAAGGCCCGCTTTGGGTTCTCGATCTTCCTTAGGTCACTCTGCGGTTGTTCATCTAGCCCTCCTCGCGCGCCCAGGATCTGTAGGTGCCAAAAAATTGGGTTCGTTCCTGTTTTAGCTCCAGGCCTCCTAGATGGGGCCGGAGCAGATGGGGTCGGAGGATCGCGACGCGTCGCCGATGCATCGGAGATGCGGCTCGATGTGGAGCCCGATTCCCTCCACCTCGACGACGCCGATGCAGCGCCGACGTCGCAGGAGCATCGCCAATGCATGGGCGATGCATCGCCGATGCATCGGCGATGCATCGACGGTGCGGCACGACCCTCCGACCCCATCTGCTCGAACCCCTTTCGGGGAGGCCTCTGTGAGCGGTCCCTGTTGCAGCAGCCTGCCTGCATCGTGAAGCTCCGCCGGCTCTGGCCCGCTACGTCTCGCTGCGACACGCCAGCCACTTCGGACCCCAAGCGTTATGATGTTCCAACCCACTTTAGCCTCGAGCGCCAGGAAGAACTTCGAGCACCAGAAAGGTACCCAAAAACTCTAGGGTTTTCACGCGTCGGGCCCTGGGAGACGCTCGCCCGACACGGCTTCGACACTCTTTCGACACTCTCTCGCCACTTTCCCGGGTGCTCGAAATCATTGCTGGGATGTGGCCCTCAAGTACGATGGGAGCCACATCACCCCGAGCGTCAACGCCCCGAGGTTCTGCGAGCTCTCCGCCCCGCGGAGCGGAGCGACATGCTGCGTGCCCGCGCGCCTGGCACAGCGTGCCGCCGGGGCCGCCGCCTGGACATGCGAAGCGTCAGTCGGGCCTGTCCCTCTACAGTCGGGGCCTTGAAGAAGGAACCCTTTTCGTTGGGGAGGGGCTCCGCGTTCCTTAAGTGTTTCACAGCTTGCCTCAGGCTTTCCTTATGTTTCCGACAGGAAATCGAAGGTTAACTTATGGAAAGAAGGGGCCTCGTGCCTTATTTAGGGTTCCAACGCCTCGACTGCACAGGAGGAAGATTCCAAAATAGTCGGGCGTGTCCCTCTACGGGAGCATTTTCGGGCGAAGGGAACTATGCACATGCACCGATCCTGACAACGTCCATCCTTGACCCAGGATCGGTGCATATGCCTTCCTGGCCAAAGTGAGAGGGCGTCTGCACCGATCCTGGGCTCAGGATGGGCCTGGCCAGAATCGGTGTATGTGCATAGTTCTCTTTCCTCTATAATTTTTGAGTATTCCTATTTTTTCGCCCAAAATCCGTGCACGCTGGCCCTTCGCGTCCGTATCCAGCGCTGGGCCTCTGGATGTTCCACATGCGAATCCGGCCATGTGCGCTTCCAGCTTCCCGGCATGCGTTCCGCGGCCTCCGTGAAGCACCCGACACGGGAAGAAGATGGTCAGCGCCGTCTGGGGCCGGAGCTCTCTTGTTCCGCCAGCCCCTCCGCTTCGTCCTCTTCGTCCTCCCCCTCCTCCTCCTCCTCCTCCTCCTCCTCCTCCTCCGCCTCCCTCCTCCTCCTCCTCCTCCTCCTCCTCCTCCTCCTCCTCCTCCTCCTCCTCCTCCTCCTCCTTCGCCCCTCTGCGTCCTCCTCAGCATGTTTTTCGCACGGGCCCCAGCGGGTCGATGCGGCTTCAGAGACGCCGGTGGGGGGTCCGCGCCGTGCCGTATTTGTTTTTTGGTTCGCGGCGTTGGTCTCGGAGGAGGAGGAGGGGGAGGATACCGCGAGGAGGAGGAGGGGGAGGAGGAGGAGGAGGAGGAGGGGGGGGAGGATACCGCGCGTGGTATTCCGCTGTCTTCGGCAACTGCCCGGGGGCCCCTCTTGGGGCCCCATGGACCTTCAGAGAGCGGCCCCGACTGGAGAGCCCGTCCCCGGGGAGGAAGCCCGGGGGGGTCCAGGGCCCGGTTCTGCCAGGGGCGTGGCAGAGGGCGGTGAGGACCGTGTGTGTGTCCTCGTCAATCTGCTCTTCGCAGGGGGGCCTGGAAAGGGATTGCAAGATTCAAAGACTTGAACGATGGAGAGAGTTTGCTTTCTATGAGCGCGGGTTGAAAAACTCAAGCGTAGAAGGATTAATAGGTTCGGCAGTGCATGAGCGCCGACTGCAATCTTGACATACTTGAAACATCGTTCAACATGGGGGCTCCAGAATAAAAGGCTGAAATGTCCTAACATCGTGAAATGCTGAGGGTCCAGACTGAAAAATGAAATAGTGAAACATTTCTCAATCCAGAGATTCTGGATTGTGATATTGAAAGATTCAAAGTGTTTCCAAGGGTGGATGTGTTCTTTCTGATTATGCAGTACTAATATATCATGTTGTCCATCCCGGCCCGCTGGACTGAAAGATCTTTCAATGTTTCATCGTGTCGATCTGGAACACACATATGCACAGGTCATCTTTCAATATTTCAGCTCTGGACCTCCAGGCCGAGAGGTTTTCAATTTGTCAGTGGTCAAATCTGGACCCTCCAGATTCAAAGGTCGCTCAACCTTTCAATGTTTCGAACTTGCCGTGCAGGTCCCTCCCCTAAATGAGTCATCCCCCTCATCATCCGTCCCTTCTCATGTACATGGCCCCTCTCTGTCGCACCCTCAGACGTGTCAGTAGGGCGTGCCAGGCGTTCCGCTTGAGGTCTCCTCGCCATGTATGATCTCTAAGCCTGAAGTTCGCGGCAGCCTCACGGATGGAGGGCGGGTGGTTCTCAAAATGTAGTTCTCGCTTTCGCGCCGCGCGCACTCGTTTCAAAAGTGTGCAGCCAGTTCACGGATGTAGGGCGGTTCCTACTCAAAATGTGGTTCTCGCCTCTTGCGCCACGCACTATCGTTTCTCAAGTGCACAACAGTTTCAAGGATTCGTATGGCCGAAGCCCCAGGAATTCTACTCTCTCACGAAGTAATATTGTCAGGACGGAAAAGAGACACTGATTCGCGGCGTTGAAGTCCCAAGAACGGTGTTTTGGCACGGTTAAGATCTGTCAGGGCGCAACAGTCACGTTGACCCGCGGTGTTGAAGTCGCCGGAACGGCTTTTCAGCACGATTGAGGATTCTCAGGCGATTAATTTCTAAAGGGCAATTTCCCACAATGCCAGCAAATTGTTTAGGGACCTAAAACAGGGGGAACTTGGAGGGAGGGTTTAGTGCAACATCGTTTCTACATTTTGGGTCTACACTAGTTCTCCTCCTCCTCCTCCTCCTCCTCCTCCTCCTCCTCCTCATCCTCATCCTCATCCTCATCCTCATCCTCATCCTCATCCTCATCCTCATCCTCATCCTCATCCTCTCCCCCTCCCCCCCCTCCCTCCCCCTCCTCCCTCCCCCTCCTCCTTCCTCCTCCTCCTCCTCCTCCTCCTCCCTCCTCTCCTCCTCCTCCCTCCTCCTCCTCCTCCTCCTCCTCCTCCTCCTCCTCCTCCTCCTCCTCCTCCTACTTTTTCCGTGGCCTTTTTGGCTCAAGAGCTTCCGGGCCGCGCCGCGCAGAGAGGCCCCTTCGTGTGTTCCGTCGCCCGCCGCCGAGCGGGAAGGCAGCCACGGCGTCGCTGCGCCCATGCTCTTAATCGCTGCTCTGCTATTCTCAGGAGGGGAAAAACACACACAGACACGATTAATCGTCGACTCCCAGGAAGATATGGGGAAATGGGAAGTGGGGGGAAGAGAGAAACCCAGAAAATAAGGAAATATATCGGGAATCTTGCTATTTTTGTTATTATTATGTGTGCCCCTGGGCCCCTTTCTATTCTGTCTTCCACACCTTCGAGTGGGATTCGGCGCAGGTGGGATGCCTCGCTGCCGCTCCTTGGTGGCTGCGCTCGCTCAAAGCGCACCTCTTTCGGTATCTCGGGCCCGCCGACGGGAGCGGGACCTGCTCTACGTCACGTCGTACGGTGCGCCAACGTCGCTCGTGGACGTCGACTCCGCCGACTACAACGAGGTCAAGCGGATGACTCCCAGGAAGATATGGGAAAATATGGGAAGTGGGGGGGAAGACAGAAACCCAGAAAATATGGAAATATATCGGGAATCTTGCTATTGTTGTTATTATTCTGTGTGCCCCTGGGCCCCTTTCTATTCTGTCTTCCACGCCTTCGAGTGGGACCCGGCGCAGGTGGGATGCCTCGCTGCCGCTCCTGGGTGGCTGCGCTCGCTAAAGGCGCACCTCTTTCGGTACCTCGGGCCCGCCGACGGGAGCGGGACCTGCTCTACGTCACGTCGTACGGTGCGCCAACGTCGCTCGTGGAGGTCGACTCCGCCGACTACAACGAGGTCAAGCGGATGACTCCCAGGAAGATATGGGAAAATATGGGAAGTGGGGGGGAAGACAGAAACCCAGAAAATATGGAAATATATCGGGAATCTTGCTATTTTTGTTATTATTCTGTGTGCCCCTGGGCCCCTTTCTATTCTGTCTTCCACGCCTTCGAGTGGGACCCGGCGCAGGTGGGATGCCTCGCTGCCGCTCCTGGGTGGCTGCGCTCGCTAAAGGCGCACCTCTTTCGGTACCTCGGGCCCGCCGACGGGAGCGGGACCTGCTCTACGTCACGTCGTACGGTGCGCCAACGTCGCTCGTGGACGTCGACTCCGCCGACTACAACGAGGTCAAGCGGATGACTCCCAGGAAGATATGGGAAAATATGGGAAGCGGGGGGGAAGACAGAAACCCAGAAAATATGGAAATATATAGGGAATCTTGCTATTTGTGTTATTATTATGTGTGCCCCCGGGCCCCTTTCTATTCTGCCTTCCACACCTTCGAGTGGGACTCGGCGCAGGTGGGATGCCTCGCTGCCGCTCCTGGGTGGCTGCGCTCGCTCAAGGCGCACCTCTTTCGGTATCTCGGGCCCGCAGACGGGAGCGGGACCTGCTCTACGTCACGTCGTACGGTGCGCCAACGTCGCTCTTGGAGGTCGACTCCGCCGACTACAACGAGGTCAAGCGGATGACTCCCAGGAAGATATGGGAAAATATGGGAAGTGGGGGGGATGACAGAAACCCAGAAAATATGGAAATATATCGGGAATCTTGCTATGTGTGTTATTATGCTGCGTGCCCCTGAGCCCCTTTCTATTCTGTCTTCCACACCTTCGAGTGGGACTCGGCGCAGGTGGGATGCCTCGCTGCCGCTCCTGGGCGGCTGCGCTCGCTAAAGGCGCACCTCTTTCGGTATTTCGGGCCCGCCGACGGGAGCGGGACCTGCTCTACGTCACGTCGCGCGGTGCGCCAACGTCGCTCGTGGAGGTCGACTCCGCCGACTACAACGAGGTCAAGCGGATGACTCCCAGGAAGATATGGGAAAAGGTGGGAAGTGGGGGGGAAGACAGAAACCCAGAAAATATGGAAATATATCGGGAATCTTGCTATTTTTGTTATTATTCTGTGTGCCCCCGGGCCCCTTTTTATTCTGCCCTCCACACCTTCGAGTGGGACTCGGCGCAGGTGGGATGCCTCGCCGCCGCTCCTGGGTGGCTGCCTCGCTAGAAGCGCACCTCTTTCGGTATCTCGGGCCCGCCGACGGGAGCGGGACCTGCTCTACGTCACGCCGCACGGTGCGCCAACGTCGCTCGTGGAGGTCGACTCCGCCGACTACAACGAGGTCAAGCGGATGACTCCCAGGAAGATATGGGAAAATATGGGAAGTGGGGGGGAAGACAGAAACCCAGAAAATATGGAAATATATCGGGAATCTTGCTATTTTTGTTATTATTCTGTGTGCCCCTGGGCCCCTTTCTATTCTGTCTTCCACACCTTCGAGTGGGACTCGGCGCAGGTGGGATGCCTCGCCGCCGCTCCTGGGTGGCCGCGCTCGCTAAAGGCGCACCTCTTTCGGTATCTCGGGCCCGCCGACGGGAGCGGGACCTGCTCTACGTCACGTCGCGCGGTGCGCCAACGTCGCTCGTGGAGGTCGACTCCGCCGACTACAACGAGGTCAAGCGGATGACCCCCAGGAAGATATGGGAAAATATGGGAAGTGGGGGGGAGACAGAAACCCAGAAAATAGGGAAATATATCGGGAATCTTGGTATTTTTGTTATTATTATGTGTGCCCCTGGCCCCCTTTCTATTCTGTCCTCCACACCTTCGAGTGGGACTCGGCGCAGGTGGGATGCCTCGCTGCCGCTCCTGGGTGGTTGCGCTCGCTGCTGGGCCCGCCGACGGGAGCTACATCGTCAATTGGACGCTGCTGGCCTGCTTGCTGGCGTCCCGCCAGCTGCCGCTGGCAAGGTGGCTGCTCACCGTGCCCTGCGACGTGGCGAGCTCACTCCGAGCTCCCACGCGCTCGCGCGCTCGAACTTGGAACGGGCAGATCGCGCCAAGCATATTCACAGTGCCTTGCACGAGCAGGAGACCCCTGTGGGCCCTGCTCAGCGGGCTCATCGATCGCATCCTCTTCCACCTGTTCGGCGTGAGGCTGGTGCTCGTTCCCGCGGGGCGGACGTGAGTCTTTGTTGGGCTGACTGTGTCGAGGATATCGCTGTGGCTACTGGTGGCTGTGACGCTACCGATGCGGATGCTGCGGGGGCTTCCCCCGCGACTCCCATGGGCGACAGCGCCACTCTGCACGGCGGCCCGTCCGACAAGCAAGACGACAAGCACGACGACCCGAACAACAAGTTGTCCAGTTGCAGTGGTGGTGGCATCGACAAGTACAGAGTCCGGCTTGAAGGAGGCACACTTACTTTTCAAAGGGGGCTCGGTCGTTCCTCTGGTTTGCATGCGTTTCGCTTACCTCTTTGGCGACGAGCCCTCCTGGTGTTCCTTCGGATTTCCTAGACTTACTTGGCAAAAAAAGAGCTTCGTTCCTCATGTATCGTTCCTTAGGCCAGGCCGAATACTGCACAACACCATCGCTGTGCGCTTGGACCAGACGGAGGGCACCATCAGCATGTTATCGTCTCGCTCGGCTACTTGGGCGGCCCTGGACCAGTGCACAGCAGCACTGGCCTCGCAGGGCTCTTGGTGGCCCTCGCCACCCAGCGTTTGCCCCTCCTGGCGGGCAGTGGCAACGCAATGGATCACGATTCTCTGGCGCAGCACACGTGCAGCACAGTTGCCCCAAGCCTACTGTACCACCCCTTTTCCGCTGGACCCCCTTTGTTGGGTCACGAGGAGAGGAGGGGGTAGGGGGCGGGGGGTACAGTGCCGTTTTTAATACATGCTCCGCGTGCGGATCATGTATCAAACATGCAGGGATTTAGTATTAAAGCAACGATGAGTTCATTCATACATTTATTCGCAAATTAATTATACATTAAAGTCATATATATATATACAGACATACATGCATACACATATCTATATATATATATGTATGTATAAATCTTATGTATTTAAAAAATGCCCTGTAGGGGCGGACAGCTGGACCCACTGTCGGGGAAGACGGAGGACGGGGGGGCAGGGAGTGCCACCGCCCGCGCCACGCGCCCGTGCCGTCGGGCAGCTCACAACGCCCAGGGCCCGGAGGGCGTGCCCAGCCTCTTTCTTTCCGGAGGATGATGCCGGAGTCTGATCGTGGTCGTGATGAAGAGGCCAGAGCCATCACCAATAGCGGGCGAAGGAGGAGGAGGAGGAGGAGGAGGAGGAGGAGGAGAGAGAGAGAGGGGGACGTTCAAGGAGGTCGAGAGGGAGGAGGAGGAGGAGGTGAGGCTTCCACGGTGTCCGGGGCCCTTGAGTTTTTGACTTCGGATTTTTCTGTGCCTGACGGAGCCATTAACAGGCCCTCCTCTTGGTCCGGTCGCGAGCGGCCCCTTTTTCCCGCCTCTGTCGGGTCTTTGGCCTGCATTCCCTTGCGAGCGCTTCCTCCTCCTCCTCCTCCTCCTCCTCCTCCTCCTCCTCTCCTCTTTTTCATTCGGCCGCCAGTCTCGCTCCGGAGATTGTTGCTCTGGGGCGCAGCCTGATACTTTCCCGGCAGCAGGGTTACGGTACACTGGGTCTGTAGCAGCAGGCTTGTGGTACAGATCCTGGCTCGTCCCAGCCGGCATGTTCCACGAACCAGGCGCACCGAGTCCGTGACAGTGCCGATGTGCGATCTGCTTGGTCCCCTCAGCATGAAGGGATCGGCTCGGTTCGGTTCGGTCCGGTTCTGCAGCCGGGTCGGTTTTGCTTGGCCGGTTCGGTTTGGCATCGGTCCGGTTTCGGCCGGTTCGGCTTGGGCCTTCCGCCGGTTCGGTTCGGTTCCGGTTTTCGCGCGGTTGGGTCCGACCGGTTCGGTTCGGTTCGAGTGGCCGCTCCGGTTCGGTTCGGCCCGACTGGTCAGGTGCGACGTTGGGCGCCCCGTCTGCGTAAGCGACGACCCAGTTTGAAAAAATGGGAGGGAGGAGGAGGAGGAGGAGGAGGAGGAGGAGGAGGAGGAGGAGGAGGAGGAGGAGGAGGAGGAGGAGGGACGACGAGGAGGAGGAGGAGGGAGGAGGAGGACGACGAGGAGGAGATGGAGGAGGAGGAGCAGGAGGAGAAACGTGGAGGCGTGGAGGCGCGAGGCCCTCCAGCGACGTGCCCCGACGGGGGTCGCAGCCCCGAGGGGGG